AGTGTTATACATATTATTGGTGATATGCTATTGCATTATCTGCCTCTAAAATTACAGAATCGCCCGATTCTCCGCCGCATTCCATCGATCCATTATTCGCCACATGTTCCGCACTTCAGCGTCTTCAGCTACTTCAGCGCCTTCAGCTTTCAAGTGTGACCCTGTGATGTACATGTTGCATTGAGTGATGATATCATAATTCATAAGTACAGCAGAGTAATATCAGTCTCTTCACTCTCTTGTAATGTTACATCATTTTGTTATCAAGTCAGTACATTTTAGAGCAAAAACCCTCCTACTCCTAGTGCGTAGTGACCTAGTTCAGCTTTTCAACTGGGAAAATCTGAATATGTGTCATAAAATGATAAATCAATTTCCGTATCTATTCAGCATTTCAGCTTTTGATTGATAGATCAGTCTAATTTATGGAAGTGATCTCATGGCCATATAATATCATATTGCCCAAATTGAGTCAGTGGGGAAACTCTTCAAGTGTTTATTTTAAGTACAGGTGCCTAATGTATGAAATTTCAACTTTCAAGTGAAACCTTACTTTCAGACATTCTTGATTCATTTTTAGCTAAATATATATTATATTCCATGAATTGCTGTAAGTACAAGCCAGGGGCCGCATTATCAAAACTTCGTAACTTTTTGTACTTCCGACAAAAAAGTTACGTGTTACGTAAGTATACCCTAATTTTGGCATTATCAAAACATTCGTACGTAAGACTTAGCTAAAAGCGTACTATCAAAACCATCTGGCCAACTGACCAATCAGAGGCTTTGGATTTGTTTACATTCTGTGAACTTCGATGGCGGGAATCGATGCCTTCTATGGTATCGACTATCGAATGCTGTCTGTCGGTATTGCTCCTTGTTGGCTCAGAAAAAGCCGTTCTAAAATAGTTGTGAACTCTTTTTAATTAACAGCGTGAGTTGAAGAAGAAGAAATCTGTGCACGGAGCTAAAAATTATGGTTGGCAAAGATATAAAGTACCGACTAGAAGGAATGAATGAATTGAATTTTTGAAAATGAATGAAAACATTTTTGAAAAAATGAATTGAAATTTTTCCCATTAGCACTGCTTAGCACGATCTCATATTTTGATCGTGCAAATGTTGCACAATCAAGTAGTGGAGCCATCACAAGTAGAGCCATCATTCTATGCGTGTATAATCCGCGCTGTCTGATTATTGACAAAATTCTATCACAAATCACGGTGTTGCTACTTGCTAGTAAATCAATAGTTTCCTATCGCTTCAGCAGACACTCTAAACTTGTGTGGAACTCCACTTACGACATCTCCGAGCAGGCGTACAGTTACGTTACGTAGGTTCACGCGCCAATGTTTTGATAATACCACCTCTAGAGTTACGTCATCAAGTCAGCACTTACACCTCTCGTAAGTCGATTTTGCGTTCTTACGAACTTTTGATAATACGGCCGGGGCCCGGCACCTGGCACCTGGGGCCGTAACGGCCCCAGGTGCTAGTATGGAATATATCTACTTGGCGAGCCGCAACTGAATTTTTCGAGCCGCGGTTTTATGGATTTGCCAGCCGTGATTCCATTTCTACACGCCGTGATTCTATTTCACCGAGCCGTGAATTCCATATCTCGGCCATGAAAAGCCATTTACGAGGTGCGAATGCGAATTTATTTACAAAGTTTATGCACGTGTTACCCCAAATCTCTAATTTTACCCTTAAACAGTCAAACGGCAACAATAAAATTTGTCTCTACTGTAAGTTCAGCACGTGTTAGTATACAGTCTGACCGCTTTGACATGACCGCAACTATGCGCGATCTTCAACAAATGTTTTGTTGATTTGTTTACATTACGATGTTTATGTTTTTTCTGCAAGATATTTTTGGCGGAAACGGTAAAGCAATGCGGATTGCGGAAGTTAAAAATTTTATGAAATGACATGTTTGCGAAGTGCAAACCGCGATTTTTTAATCAAAAAAAAATTTATGACATTCGAGCCACGAGATTTCATACCTACTGAAATTATATGATATTAGAGCCACAATATTTCAGACAAAAATAGGACTTTTCCAGACTAGCCCAGGTGAGGATTGTCATATGAATTTACTAGTTTCTTTTTACCACATATTGCAACTTCATTTGCAAGAAAAATTCATCTCTGTTCATATCAAGATATGTTTATTGCATGCATCATGCATGGCCATGATGCAGTAGGATGTAGTGCACAAAAATAGTTTCAATTTTCCCACTATGAATTATCTTAGGTACCTACTTCTGTAGTAGCTACTTCATCCCTAGAAGGGCGTAGGCTAGTACCTACCATTGTATTTTTTCAAGTTTGGCCAAAACTGCAAAAATACCTTATACCTAGCCTAAGATGACTGAAGCCTGAAGGTATTACACTGTACTTGATTCAGTTATGTCATTGTCATCATAATGTCATGTAACAGCCATTTAATGATTTATGCCATTATATGATTATAATGAAGTCTTCAAGTTTGAGGGAAGGTTTTACTGTTTTCAACCTTTCATGACATGAAGATTCATGGTTCCACAAAACCACGTCAAGTAAATTTATGTTTTACATGTATTTAAACACCATTGATTTATAATTGAAGCCAGAATCAATTCTGATGCCTACTGCCTTATTCAATAATAAGATCCAGATACCTTCCACTTCCAGCTATACGCGTACGCGGCATGACTGGACTCTGGAGTCGTCATAAACGCCAAGCAACTTTGATGTCCCCATCACAATCTCCCTGGGAGAACCACGCGCAGTCTGTCGCAGCAAAGACCACACGACGAACGCACTGAAGCACGAAGAGATGCTATCCGCCGTCCAAGGCTACCAACAGAAGCTCTTGGTCCCACACGCAAGGACGTATGAAATACCGCCACTGTTTCTTCCCGTCCGGGATCTGACTGTGGAACACTCTGGCTCAAGATGTCGACAGTCGAGCGTGGTCGCCTCCATCCTCATTGCCCTCGAAACATCAGTGAAGCTGCAAATGCAATAATATAGACGGTTTTGTGCTTCTAACAAGCCGAAACATATGATGTTCTTAAATCGTTTACTTTACACCATCCCAGAGCATGCACGCGTATTCTAGAAAGTTCACACGGAAGATTTTCCAGCAAGTCATCGGAGTTTCCACATCACCATGAAGAAGCTATTGCAAACAGTTTTTTGAGCAGTTTGGTCCTTCATGTCAGTGTTGCCAGGTGTTTTCTTGGCGAGAATACCAGATTGCCTAGCTCAAAATACCAGAAATTCTTTTGTTCAAAAGCAGACTAATACCTCCAAATTTAATGGAACTATTCGTCAGAAACGTTGGTTAGAAAAAGAAAAAAACTTACATATGTACTGTGTCTACTCTATGTCTATCTGGCTTAACGATAATTTGCCAAATTGAACGCGTTATATTTTTTCTCTCAGTTTGAAACATTTTGACACTTTTATTTCCCTGTGTTTGATTACATTGACACTTTTTCCTTTTTTTATCACAGTGTGGCACTTCCTCCCCTTCGCTCAACATGAGCAAGTCACTGAAACAGGTCATCTTCGTTTTGCTTATTTTGTACATGCTTGCATATTACATTAATCTAACATTTCGGGTTTGATCACTTGTTGCGGTTGAGCAGATAGCTTTTGGTCCGAATAAGGGACTCCAGTACCTCAGTTGAAATATTATTTCGTTGCTTTTTTCACATAGGTGACTTGTGAAAACACATTCTCCACAAATGCATTGGAGACAGGTCAAAGTAGAAGGGTGATGCAGTAGACAGCCAGTTCCATGAATGGATGATGATTTTCAAGATCAGTGAAATATTAAAATGGCACCCCAGAATTCAAATGGAACTCCAATAATTGGCTCTCTAGAATTCAAAACCACAAAACAAATGGTGGAGCTTGCGTCGCAGACTGCAGAGATCGGTTCGACAACCTTACTCGTCCTAGGCCATATCATCAATGATCAGTAATCAATCAAGGATCATCACTCTCGTGCTTATATTGCACTAAGCGCTATAGTTAAATGTTAACAATTCGATTTGGGTTATTTCATCAAGCGGTAATCTTGGGGTTCCAAAAATGGCGGGAAACCTTCTAGTCGCGCCGCTCTGAAGGTAATCTATATTAATCCACGCCTACGCTGGAGTAAGTTTGAACTTCAGAGATGGACCTTATTGCAGTAAATTTGCAGTAAGTCAGAAAATACTAGAAAAATACCAGATTCAGGCAAATATGCCAGATCTGGAATATTCACTACAGGCACCTTCTGAAAATACAAGATTTGCGAAATCTGGTATAGAAATATACCATCTGGCAACGCTGCTTCATGTGCACAACATATATACATGAAAACGAAACCTCTTCTTTTATGCGACTAACACGTTATTTATTGTGATTCAATGCAATTTAGTTAAAAGATGTTCATGTTACACAAGTTGTGTAGTAACATACCCTTTGGACCGTTATCTCCAAATTGGCATGACATAAAACTTACCAATAATTAAACCGACCAATTGTTGTAGTTCGCTTCAATACATTATGTGGTATGTTTTGTCGTCATAAAACGTTTTCATGCTACAGTGCGACAAATGTCTCAAGGTGGTTCATAATAAAAAGTACCAAGTTTAAGACTTTTTTTTCATAGAAGTATTTGTATTTCGTGAAAAATTAAAACTTATTCCAGCAGTTGCGTCAAAAAGCTGGGAAACACAACATAGGTAAAATACGAGTCAATTTGTCTTTACCAGTGGATGAAAAACCCTAACTTTAGGAAGTTGGCAAGATTTAAAACTATTCATTAAAACGTATCGATAATAAAACTATATAGCAACATGTACACTTGTACAGTGAATAGTAAATTTGAAAAACCAGAAGTTTCCTTACGCCCCCTACATTTTAATATCAATACCAATAGTATAATTCTATCGTCGCACATCCCACGATGTCTACAATAATGTGCTAGTTAACAAATACGGCCGTTCGCAGATACGTGTTAAGGTCTAAAAGTAATAAATCGGCTTACTGTATTTCTGAGGAAGTTTGGACTTGGGGCGACCCGTTCCAACCGCACTGACCAGCACATTGTGAACCTCCCACCGCACAGTATCTGAGAAGAGGGTAAACTGAAGAATCCTTTCAACTTTTCTCTAAAGTTATACTTCTGGATACGCTTATAAAATGATTTAGGCCAGAGTTTGCTTCAGAGCAATGTCGATATTATTAATTGGAAAACATTTTGGTGCGGAAAATTTTCTAAACAATTAGTATAGAGGCTAATGTAACTGGAATTGCAGCAAGTTCATTAACTGGCAGATTCGGCAGGTACTCACTGGAAACATGACAGGAAAAGGTCGAACAACAATTCCCTTTTTTTCTCTTCATTTCGGAAGATGTAGTTTGTCAGGACATCTATGTACCTGGATAGATGGATACTGCTTTTAGGATATTGAAAAATGATTCAATAAAAATGATCTGATTAAAGCTGACTTCAATTATCAGCTCCAAAAAAAAAAAAAAAAGATTTCAAAAAGAAAATTTTAATGTACAACAACTGGAGCATCATGACCAATAGAGCTTTTTCAAACAAGACCCAAAACTTGTTGCTCTGTGCCAGGTTTGAGGGAAACTCATGATTAATGTTTTTCAGTCCGATGAATTATCTCATATTCAGAGCTGGACTCACAGTTATTCAGATAAGCGAGTCAACTTTACTTATAGGAATGATTTAACAAGTGCCAAGCTCTATATGGGAAGCAGGACGAGGCAACATGGGAATTGATCACTAACCACAAATATGATCGATCTGTTTACACTTACTTCATCTTACAATTCCAGTCCTTAATTCCACCATTGTAAAAAATTCTGTTAAAGAATCTGGGTAGGTCGAGTTCTAATATAACAAAATTATTCAACAGGTAATATGAGCTTTCATGGTCCTGTTTATATATTGAAGTCTCGTACAGAAGATTTCCTGTGACAAACTCTCTGAAACAGAATCAAGAGAAAAAAATGAAGAACAAATTATTTATTAATGCAATGAAAGAATATGTTTAATTACATTGTGTTACACATACATATAACCTATTTTTCAACATATGATACACAGATTTGATTGCAAGCTGATGTGCTAAGCATTTAATTAGATGCAGCTGAACTCACGGTCCCAACTCGTGCACTGCCAACACCATCTTCTTCACTTGTGTTTTGGTAAATTCTCCTCCTCCAATCCAATCACTGATCTCCTCGTAGGAACAGCCACCTTTTAGAAGTCTTGCAAGTATTTCAACATTGTCCTGTAAATTAAAAGTAAAAGTCGCTCAGGCTCAAAATTCGTCAATTTAAAAACTGTTTCGGTAAATAAAAATAAAATGGCAAAATTTTCTCGTTGAACATGTTGCAGCATCACACGAATGTTATTGAGACAAATGTAAGATTAAGTGATCAGGAAAAGTTACATACAATGGATATTGTATGCATCATACAATATTCTATATATAGAATATTGTATGCATCTAGAGTAACATAGGGGTCAATTAACAAGAAATTTGCAAAGATAAGGATATAATGAATTAAAATACACTGGAGGCTCCAGTAAATGAGCCAGGTCATTGCTGTTCACACTTCCAAATTGTCTGCAAAGTAAAGGAACCAGCAGGAGTTGTGCACAATAGTATAAATGAATATTTCAAGGAAAAAGAAGCTTGAACCTTAGCAAAGAATGTAGCTGATCTGTTGTTGTGCTCTGCATCTGTTGCCTTAGCGTCTGCACCTGCATCCAGCAGCAGCTCAGCGCCCCGCCACCAACGCCTCTCCAACGCTGGAAAAAATGCATCAGTGAGGTACAAACTGCTTCTTCCTCTGCATCCTTTGCAAGCATACAAGTACTTTATTCACACATTCTTATCAAAATAATTCAAGCAGGACCTATTTATCAAATTTGTTACAACTTCCATATTGCTGCAGAAGCATATAGACTCTTGCAAATTATTTCATATTTTATAAACTTAATAAAAATTAACATTTCATTCCAAGAGGTTTAGTTGAAGTATCAAAAATAGACTTCTTTAAATTGTCCCAGAAAATATTTTATGAAAATCATAAACCACTCCAAAAATCTATGTAACCATTAGAAAAAGTCCACACCAAAACGCACCAGCAAATAGAGGTAAGGAAACTGGATCAGGTTGAGGCAGATTAGGATTTGCACCAGCAGCTAGGAGGCACACCAGAATTTCTTCCTAGAAAAATGTTAACAAGTAAAAGAATAAAGAAAAAGAAATTCATAATGATAGGATAAGCCAAAGCTTAGCTTAGCACTTAAAAATAATAAGCCAAAGCCTAGCTCTTAAAAAAAACTGCAAATTATCAGCATAAATAATAACATTTCTTCAACCAAAATATCATTAGATATTATTATTTTTATAAAACACAACCAGGGTCATTGTGTCTGCAAATAATTTGAATTATTTTACAACAAAAATATGATGCTGGATTGTAAAACAAAACAAAGTGGAAACAAACAGCTATATACCTATGCAATTTCAGCATATAAATGAAGTTTTTGTTCCTCTAGCATGTAGGTGTTAAGTTCTAACAAGGGACAGTTTAATGTAAAATAACAAAGGTATAATATTAAATGCACTAGATAGAAACCTCAGTTTGCAAGTCAGTCTGCGACTCAGGAGTGAATCTTTTACAGAGCAGAAGGAGCGCAGTGGACCGATCATGGCTCTCCATGTTGACGCACCTTTCATCTGCCATGAACATTGATGGAAAGTTACATATTGGCAGACTACGGTATATATCTTCATAACTAATTATTGAAGCAATGGATTGGTTTAATATCACTTCAATTCTCTGCTGCTAACAAATACCGTAGTACTAAAACTGAACCAAATAAATTAAATGTAAATGATAAACAGGAGCAGTACCGTAGCTCTCATCTGATTTCATGTTGAGCCTGCATCAGAAGCTGCCATGTAACAATTACCTACCAGAATCATTCATCATTATTGTGGAGAGTCTTGATAGCTGATAGTCCCATTTTCAAACCCGTATTTCAATCAGCTCCATCAATTGGCAAAATTTTTTTTAATGAGGTATGAGCAAGAGCAACAGACAAGACAATAACTAAACACGATGTTGCTTGCAAAGTTTGGCAATGGAAATTGCAGGACATTTTTTCTTGAGACCTGCTCTGTGCTGAGAAAATCTCTGTGCCGGTTGGAATGTTATTCACAAGGAAAAATGAACCTTGTGCAATTTCTGAGCAGCAACAGCAGCAGAGGCTTTGTGACAGTAGAAACAGTAGTATTGGCTAAAATTAAATGTTACGGTATTCACCTTCAAGGTATGGCCAGAATTTTTCTTAGTACATTAAAATTATCACAGTAAAACTTAAAAAAATCGTGATCTGGCTCATGATTTTTTCAATAAGTAGATGAAATTGGTTCATACAATTTTCACTTTAATTTTGTTATGATTAGGTCTACAGCCATTTTCATGGGGTTGTGTAGTAGTTGCTTTTGCCTGTCCTGAGAGAATTTCCTGCCCATGCAACCTAATATAGTCAAATGGGGTAAGACAGGATTGCAGCCTTCATGGGGTAAGAAAGGGCCAGCCCATGGCATGCATTCTAATTGCACTGAATTCAATTTGACAAAAGAATATGTTAGAACAATCATTGCCTGTCATTTCAGTGTTTGTGGCAACCCTCTTCTGCAAATAATGAATTTCTGGCTAATTTTTAAAGAAAACCTTTCTAAAGAAGGGTCACAAAATCGTTAACCCTGTTTAGGAAATAAGCTCTGTGAGCTAATGACAAAAAATTTTTTGGCAAGGTTTGTGGATGTAGGCAGGTAACCTCAGGTAATAGGCAACTTTTTAGGCATACTAGGCATTCTTACCTGCTACCATCTTTGCCTGACATGTATTCTAAAATGGGGTAAAAAAGGACCAGACATGGGGTAAGATGGGACCACTAAATGATCCTGTTTCACCCTGCAAGTGGTCCTATCTTACCCCACAAATGGTCCTGTCTTACCCCACAAATGGTCCTCTATTACTGTACAGTTCATCAAAAATAGTTTTTAAATGAATACCTATATTATTGTGTAGTACATGGAGTATTTTGGTCAAAATTTTTATCTTTTGCTCAAACTTCCTTATAACTTGTTAGCTTTTATAATTAGAAAAATTTAGTGCAGTATTTTAAATTGCATCAAAGGGATATAGAAAATAAGGATGTCTATTCCCATTAGTGAGCTGCAGAACTATGTGCAAGATTGGCTGGGAGAAAAATCACTGTGTGAAACATGAAAAATAATTATGATCACAACTCTGTGAGAGGGCATGAGCAATGTTTGAAGAAGTGCACCACAAATGCAGTTAGCAAGCAAACACATGACGTCTGACACAAGGTATTATCCATTGGTTTTATTACCAATTTGATAAATTTTTCAGACAATGGCACTAATGGAATATACATGAAGCATTTAGCAGTGCTCTACAATGAACCAAAGCCGACCCACTATTACTTGCTTAACAAAGTTTACTCTTGACAAAAACTTCAATGTGACTGATATTAGAGTTAACTTCCCGAAACACAAAGCAGTAACAAGTGGTTGTTTAATCAAATAATGTGTTTCTAGATGGATAATATTGAATATCAAATTTGTACTTTTATTAAAAACCTTGTAACATAAGAATTACCAGTTGGTCCTTTCTTACCCCAGCCTGGTCCCATCTCACCCCAATGGGGTAAGATGGGACCAGCTCACTTTTTTTAATTTGTACAGAAAACTATGTTAGATGCAAAATGTCTGAGTTGTAGCTTAGAATCCCATTACATCTACACCTTGTGATAGGTTTAGGGTTTTTTAGTTATTCATGGTATAGATGCTACAGGCTTGTTAGTGGTTTCGGTCCTGTCTTACCCCATCTGACTATATACCTAATTATGACATTGCTCTATTTCAGCTCTAAAATTGCTGTGAATAATTAAAAAATTATCATAAGCTATGGTATGGGAAGTATTTAAATGAAGAAGACGAGTAACTTGCTAGAAATGATCAAGGTTTAGTGAAGTGCTGTCATGCTGCAGGTGTAAGAACTCATTACTTGAAACATTTTGAAGAAGGTAGTAGTGACTAGATAAATAATTTCATTGAAAATTCTGTCAAGTTCATCTTATAGAGATGTCATAACTAACAACACTGGCATAAGCACAACCCAAAACAGTTCCACATAACTTTTCTTTAAAAATTAAAAGATTACTCTTTATAACATTGAAAACACATTTAAAACATTACTTTTAAATTACCTGCATATGTCAGAAGTTTCTTCAAAGTTGCAAGATCACTTGCCATTACTGCATGATGAAGAGCAGTGTAGCCTTGCTCATCAGTTGTCAATAGGCTTTGTTCAATATAATCATCACAAGCTTGAGAAGCCATTGCTTCTTGGAGCAGAATATTATGATTTTTTATATTTATTAGAAATGCTTTTCCACTGGTACCTAGCAAATAGAAAAATAATAGTGAAATGAAAAATGCTAGGGGGAAAAACAGGTAGAGATAAATTAGCAAGGATTCTGCATTTTTTTCACAGCATTGACAAGTAACTTCAAATTTATTAGCATAGCAAGGTCAGCCCAGATGTTGATTAAGTCAGTCAGGGCAACCCAACAGATAATCTTACTCACTCCAGCCATTACCAGGTACCTGCCACTGACACTCTGATCACACTCTTGGATTGAACCACCATGACTACTGCATCATATGATTGCCTCCTGATCTACACCAAGACGCAAGTCATCTACTGAGCTAACTGCAGCTCTGAAAATGCTATCATGAACTTTGCCAAAGCAAACTGGAATAATAACAGTGCCAAAACTAAAGCTACCTTCAATAACACTACCATAAAACGGGGTAGTGTTGTTTCCTTTGACATTTTGTACAAATGTAATAGCTAAACTAAGTAAAATATTGCAACACTAAAAATAGAGGGGAAAAGTTCAATATTTTTCCTATCTATCTAGCATAAAGCAAGTTTAGAAATCATACATTTACCATCTATACAAAATCCCTGAAAATAAGAGGGAGAAATGAGATTTTGGAAAAGTGCCTCTGCTCAAGTCTGAAGCAGAAAAAAATTTGTTGTACTGTATATAACAGCCAAATAAGTTCACTCCAAATGCTAAATACAGATACTCCAATGGCTAATGAGTAATGAGACAATGAGGACTACTTTCAGGAATATGCAAGTTTTTTGGGGGGGATTTTGCTGTTCAAAATGAGCTTTCCTAAGCCAATGACCTGCTGAGTTTATACAGGAATTCAGGAATTGCCCCATCTTTATGTAATCAATCTGTGCAGTCAGCTGTGTACAGCAGCAGTGTGGAATTCTAGAGGGATAATAAATTAACCAGTACACATAGCATATTGGAAAGCAGGACCTGAAAGCTTGGAAAGGCCAGGAACTTTACACTTTCAGTCCATTATTTACATATCCTATCCCTTTCCAGAATTCCATTTGTTATTGGTTTGTTATTTTAGCCACTTTCAGCTTTCCAGCTTTGATTGGATAATGGAATTGTACTATTATCTGCTTTCTAGCTGTGATTGGTTGATGGAAATGCTTTCAAGCAGTGATTGGCTGATGGGGATGCCTTGGCAGGCTGGCAGAGCACTGTAATCTGTATCCGAGGAAAGCTTTTTACCTTGGGTGGAAAGCTTTTTTATAAGTGAACTTCCATTCTTAGAATTCCAGCCTGTACAGCAGGCAGTGACATCTGCATGGCTGCAAGGTACAAGGATGCAATTGCATCATTGCACAGCCACAGACAATTAAGGTATGTCTGGTCACTAATAAACATAGTTAATAAATGCATTGTGAGAAGAAACAATCACATCTTCACACAGCTGTAGCTGCCACTTCCTTTGATAGCAACAGGCAAAGAAGATGCATATGGTCACTAATACATAGGTTATATTAATATGGGCTGTCATAATTTATTTCTTTATGCAGGTTTCATTCAAAACAGAAAATTGGTTCTATCAAAAATTTACTCATTAGTTTTTTCATTATATCCAACAATATTTTTTGTTTGCACTGGTGAATCCAAAAGAAGGGTATTGAAGGATGTTTTTATTGTGTTAACCCTTTCACGGGTAAGTTAGAGTTACCATATATGATCACTTGAAATCGCATCACAAAAAGCCTCACCACGGCTTCCTGTTTGTTTTTGAGGCATCCTTATAATGCCTCAGTCAATCACTAATTATCTGACCATCGATCTATCTATAGTATCACCAACTGCAAAGTCCACAAATTGAAATATGAGCATTTAAATGAAGGTTTTGACTCGGACAATGGAACTGACGCTCTTTCCGCATTTTCTTCAAAAGGTGGAAGTATCAATATATATATTTATTTATTTTGGCAACTTGATTAAATTTAATTAAATTAAATTTTATGTTTCTAATTTTTCATTTGCATAAACTGAATTTGAATTATAAATAAAAATTTTGTGTACTGATTGCATTTATTGAATTCTTCATGTGCGATTTAAACATTCAAAAGGCAAAATTCGCAAAAATTCATAGAAATAAATATATTGTATAATACTTCTTACTTTCTTGTAATGGTTTCTGAAATTTCAATTTCTGGATATTTCAATGCTTGCCCGCTAAAGGGTAATCACATTTTGAATGTATCCATCATTCATTAACAAGTTACTAGATGCATGCAGCACAGAAAAACACTTTTTTTCTTCATTTATTTGCAAATTCCATGACTTTCCATAAACTGAAATGACTTTATAATTGATTTTAAGACTTCGGGTATGAATATATCACACCTCCCAGCCTGAGCACAACTTTTTGTTGAAAACTTGTATTATCTTGCCACTTTTCTTTCAATTTGGGTTTCTGTCACTCACCAACCGATGATTATTGTGTAGAAGAGACAAGAGAATTAGGCACTGAGTGTTTTCAAAGGGTGTTCAAAGGGTGTTCACCATGCTGCATCTCAGCAGGTATTGTCCAAGATGACGTATTACAGCAGTTCTTCTTCGTTGTGGGATATCTCCCCCACCAAGAGCCGAGATGAGGGTCCAAGGTAATGATAAAGCTTCCAAACTTGAGCGAAACTCCCTCCTCTGGTCAGTGTAAAGCGCAAAGCTCAAGATGAAATGTCTGATTGTGCCTTCTGTGTTGCACTCGGGGCAGATGCTAGAATTAGCCATGTTGAAACGGGCCAGGTGGGCCTTCACCCCAGCATGTCCCAGTCGCAGCCGAGCTACTGCACGCTCAACTGAGCGAGGTAGCGATCCATAGTCCACGTAGTTTACCACCGCTCCCAGATCATGCCGAAAGGTTCCCTTCCCTGAGGACTGCACTTCTTCTGCCCACCAGAGTGCCCAGTGTTTCAAGAATTGGGACTTCAACAGTTCAACAAACACAGCCATTCCTCAAAACACAAAAGGGATCTTGCAGAACGATTGTTTGAGTGTGCAAGATTTGCCACCCTGTCAGCCACTTCATTTCCGTGGATGTTGCTATGGCCACAAACCCAGCACGTCACCACTCTATCAAGCCCCTTAGTTTGCATTAACTGATGAATTTTGACAACAATTGAGAGATATGAGCCACCAGACGCAGAAGATAAAAGCTGCAGTGCTGCTCTTGAATCTGGCAAGATCAACACCGGCTCACCTTGCAAAGATATGTCGGTGGTGGCAAGCTGCATTGCCTTGTATATTGCAAACAATTCGGCCTCCAATACAGTGTGCACCGGATTCAGCAACCACCCAGTGGCCAAGTGGTTGGATGGCACATATAGACCAGCAGACACCGATCCAGTGGCAGAACGAGATCCATCAGTGTAGATTTGCAGATGTTGAGGATAGCACAGTTTCCAGAAGTCTTGGAAGCACTTTTGTGCATGTTCAGGAGGCATTGAATTTACTGCAGAGCTCAGCAAGTCCACACATATACTGGAGGAAAGTTCAACATGAGGTGGAAATGTTGACATCAATGGCGTGGGAACTCGATGCAGGGGAGGAAGGTTCCACTTTTGGAAACTTTGACGAGCTTGCACAATGAAAGGCATGTCCAAGAGGATCTCTTGATCTAGGAACCCTAATGTAGATGCCACTTGATCTCCCACAGGCAAGTACATATACCTGAGAGCCCACTTTATGAATAAAAATTGGAATCTAAGTTGCAATGGAGGAATAAAGCTTTCAACTTGTAAAGATAGTACAGGTGTAGTGCGTCGAGCACCCAGTATGTATCTGAGTGCTGAGTTCTGAACAGTTTCAAGCTGGTTCAACAAAGACTTCGATATGTTCCCCAAAATTGTGGAGCCATACTCCATCTTGCTTCGTATGAATGCCACGTATATTCTACGCAACAACTTCTGTGATGCTCCCCACTTCACAGAACTCAGTGCTTGGAGCACTTGTAGCCTTTTGAGACAAGCTATGCGAGTTTGTCTCACATGTTCCTTAAAGGTTAGATGAGGAGAATCAAAATAAAATCTCAAAACTTCTGGTGAGCCACATATCGAATATTCTTGTTGCTAACTCAAAGTGACACAGCCGGAGCAATACGCTGAGATGTGAAGACCTGGTATGAACACTTAGCTGGGTTGAGCTTGAACTGCCAGCGAGTGCACCACTCACCAATCACATCAAGGTACTGCTGCATGTAGCCTTGTGCCTCAATGATGGACCGCCCATTCACAACAAGTGTGATGTCATCAGCATAACCAACCAGCTTCACATGAGGGGAAAGTGGGAGATCATGCAGCATCACGTTAAAAAGCGTTGGTGAGAGTACTGAACCTTGTGGGACTCCAACTTTCACAGGCTTTGGTGCAGACTTACTGACTCCCACCTGCACCTGAACAGTTCTATTTTGGAATTAGCTATACAACCAGGCCAACATCTGATCACCTACACCAATGCCATGTAGTTTGAAAAGTAGTCCATCGTGCCAAATGCTATCAAATGCACCCTCAATGTCCAGGTAAACCATCAGACAGCACTCACAAGCAAGACGTGCTGTACTGATAGCGTTCTTCACCAGATGCAGAGCATCAATTGTGCTCTTTCCCTTTCTAAAACCAAGCTGAAGTGAGGGAAACACATGGCGACTTTCTAGGGAATACTGCAGGCGGCGCAGAACCATGCGTTCCATAAGTTTTCCCATGCAAGGAAGGAGAGTGATGGGTTGGTACCCTGACACTTGCTCTGGAGGCTTTCCTGGTTTTAGAATAGGCGCAATAATTCAGTGCTTCCATGCATCTGGAACATATCCAGAAGCCCAGCTTGTGTTCAGAAGGGAAAACACCTCTTGCCTGCATTGTGGTGATGCCTTTGCAAAGAAAATATTCATAATTGAGTCATGGCCAGGTGCTGCGTTTTTCAGTGCCTTAAGTGCCAGAGAGAACTTATCAGCTGTAAAGGGAACGCCTTCATAGTATTTGAGCCTGGAGATCTCTTTCACTACTTC